TTCAGACCTGCCAGCCTTGGCTCAATATCAGGGCTGCCCCCTAATAATTCAATTCAATTCAATTTTATTTGTATAGCGCCAATTCATAACAGAAGTTATCTCAGGACACTTTTCAAATAGAGCAGGTCTAGACCGAACTCTTTAAAACATTATTTACAGAGACCCAACAGTACCACCATGAGCAAGACCTTGGAGACAAGGGCAAGGAAAAACTGCCTGTTAAAAGGCAGAAACCTAGGACAGATCCTCCGGCTCTAGGTGGGTGGTCGTCTGTCTCGACCAGTTGGGGTGAGAGAGAGAGAGAGAGAGAGAGAGAGAGAGAGAGAGAGAGAGAGAGAGAGAGAGACAGACAGACAGACAGACAGACAGACAGACAGACAGGTGCACAGCAACAACAGTATTGGCAATGGCAATCTAGCAGGACCATGGCAGGAGGCTCCACCAGGATCGAGTCCTAGTAATAGTCCACTTAACTGTTAGTCTCTGAAAACAATCTTAGTATTTGATGACAAAGTCCTTAAAGAAGCTCTAAATACACAAACTGCTGCTACTGTGGATCATTAGGAGGTTTCAAAGTTAGTATCAGTGCTCTTAGATTAGATTACAGCTTTCCTAGTGACTGACAGCTGTCACAGAGACTGAGAGGAAGATGGACGAGTGATTTCTCTTTGTGTGTCACAACAGTTTAGTTAGTAAATACATTTTAGCAGAAAGTTTAATATATAAACACAAAATCAACAGAAAGCATGCATGAGCAGAGGGAACTGAAAATGAGTCATATAAATGAGTTTGTATCAGTTCTCTTACTTTGAGTCTGAGGGTCCAGGTTCATTACTGAACAATGGAGGATGATCTTTGGACCAGTCACTCTTCATAGACAGACAGCTGGACGCTGCAGACTCTGCTCTGTCCTCCTCTTCCTCCACACAAACACTCATCTTCTGATCTGAAGTCAGTCTGAGAGTAAAACAGTAACACAAACTGTGAGCACAGAGGACAAGAACCAGGAAACAAGATTGTTCACAAGTCACACACACACACACACACACACACACACACACACACACACACACACACACACACACACACTGCACATTAGAACTATATTCAGTAAATTCTTCTGTTGTTTTGTATGTAGACCACTGTATGTGCACTGTGTACATTGTTTTTGTGGGAAAAATAAAATATATTTGTTACCGTGTATTTGTGTGTTCTGAGTATAAAAACAACATTCTCAAATATTTTACACACTTATGTATGTACTGTCTGTAGGAAGTGTAACACTGAACAAAAAAAAGGCCTAAGCCATTATGATGAATGGAGAAGAAGTGTTTTCCATTCAGTGTTTTACATTGAGCACATCAGTGTTCAACTGGTTCTTATAAATGTCTATTCATATGATGGTTTGTGTGTGTCATTTGAAAACAAAACACCATTTTGAGAAGAAATAACATTGTTTTGAATGTACAGTTTCATTTTGCAGGAGAATTGAGGGGGTTTGCCCATTGTGTGTGTGTGTGTGTGTGTGTGTGTGTGTGTGTGTGTTTATTGATTTGTGTGTAGAGTTCTGAGAGTATGAGGCATGCTTTCAGAAAATGTGTGTAAACAATCGAGAAAAACTGTAAAAATAAAAAACAGGATTTTAGAGTAAGAGTAGCCTCCAAGGTTTGAAATCACACATTGCACTCACACTGCCAAGGAAAGAAAGAAAGATAGATAGATAGATAGATAGATAGATAGATAGATAGATAGATAGATAGATAGATAGATAGATAGATAGATAGATAGACTTTATTGATCCCAAGCTGGGAAATTGCAGTGTAGCAGCAGCATTACACACAGTAAGCCAAGGTATCCATTTTTATTTACACAAAAGAAAATGTATAAAGCATAATATACTGTTATATAAACACATAAACAAAAATAAGGAAAATGATATGTTGCCTACAGTGCTGTAAATAAATACAGTATATGGCATTCATAGTATTATGTTGATATGATTACGTTGACTAATTTTGACAATTGAACATACTATTGAGCATGTGATGACTTATAGAATGAAATGATGCTGACATGTTTTGGAGAGAACAACCATTAGACTGAGAATCAACAATAAGTTTAGATCAACACGATCTAATCAATTGGAAATTGTGCTAAATGTAGGCTAACTGTACTTAATCATTTGCAAAGATGTACTAAGACATTTGCAATGTGATGGAATGAATGAGAAATTAAATTCTGTTGTGAAGAATTGCCAAGTGGTCTGGAGGTTTGTCCATGTTGTTTTGAGAATGTAATTTCTGTTTCAAGAAATGAGCCAAACCAAAGGAGAACAACTGTAACACTTACTCTGCCTCAGCTTTCAGTTTCCCTCCTCCTGCTCTGTCGACTCAAAATGGAGTCTGACTCTGAACTATCTGAACACTTTCACTTTCAGGCTCCCTTCCTGTTGGATCACATGTTGCTCCTCCCCTCTCCGTTTACAGGAAGTCAGTGTTTTTCTGTGTGTGTGTGTGTGTGTGTGTGTGTGTGTGTGTGTGTGTGAGTGTGTGTGTTGAAGGTAACAGCTGGTATTTCCTGTTAACTCTTCTGAGTTTGTAGTTGGTAAAGAGAGAAAGAGAGACAGAAACAAAGATGCACAGCAACAACAATACTAGCAGAAAGAACTAATAATGATGATGATGAATATTATATTATATTATATTATAATATATGACATATATGTAATTATATTAACTTATATCACATTATATTATATCACATTATATTATATTATATTATATTGTATTATATTTTATTATATTATATTATATTGTATTATATTATATTATATTATATTATATTATATTATATTACATTTTATTATCATTTGCATCCATTTCTGTTTCCAAGGTTACAATTGTTATTTGCATATTTGGTGTTGAGGTAATCCAAAAGTAACAGAATCCAGTTATTCTACTTTAATATTGTGATATTTGGATTAACTGACTCCATTTTCTAACAGGTAATTAGTTATAGTGTGGGATTATGTTTTTAATGTGTATGTTATATAATATAATTCAGTTTTAGTGAACAGTAACAACCTGGCTGCTGACTCACCTGGAGCGCTTTACCAACCGGCCATAAGGGGGCGCTGGAGCTACGAACTACATTAAAGCAGCAGCAGAAGAAGAAGAAGAAGAAGAAGAAGAAGAAGAAGAAGAAGAAGAAGAAGCGGAAGTGACGTGCTTTTGTTTTGAAAGAGGTAAATTTAAAAGTCAACAACGTTATTGACAAATAAACACAAACAAGCGGAATAAAGGGTCCAGAAAGGAGGCTGAGATGAGCGCAGTGTGACATCGTTCACTCCTGAATGTAAAGTAGGTTTTTATTCCGACATTTATTCAGTTCTCTGGTTTTAATCCGCTCAACGTCAATCATCTTCTAACGTTTCACCAAACCCAATGTGACCGTTTGTTCTCTAACCTTTTACACTTTATATTCATATTCACACTTTTACACTTATTGAACAGCTGTTGGCTTCCCTACAAATAATCAATTAATTAATGAAGAAACTAACCAACAGCATAATCAATAGTTACAGCTCTTGTGTATATGTGTCTGAATGTGGGATTCTAACTATATAACATTACAGGATTGTTCACATTGTCTTAGAAGTTCAAACCAAATAATGAATCAATGAATCCAGAAAATGATCACAGATTAATTGATAACAGAAATAATGAGTTAGTTGCAGCTCTGTTAACGAAGGCTGTCTGAATAATGACACAGATATGGATGTGTCGCGCATCATTTTACACACTTTCACCCAAACTTGAGTCTGCCGCGTTCAGTGTGTTTGGAAACGTCTGGATGTCCTGTAGCATTTTAAAGCCACTGTAGTTTCTCCTCCACACGTCACAGACGCCCGCTGTGTTCAGTTAGTTACTGTTTGAAACTTCACCACTGGATGGTATCGCTATGAATCTGTACTGGAGCAGTTACAGGTGGATCCAGCAGGGTTTCTTTAACTTTTCTGTGGTGGTAAACCAAGAGGCTGTTTGGTTGAAGCCCGGCCAGTTTGACCTTTGACCTCGGTGGCCGTGTGTGTCCCTGCAGGGTTGCCAGGCACCGACATGAAGAAGAAGGTGAGGAGGTCGCAGGTGGCAGACGAAGGCAGCAGCAACCAGGAGGAGTGTGAGTGATCTTCAGCGGACTGCTTTCACATTATCACTACAGTCACTCAGCCGGAGCAGCACAAACGTCTTAAAGCTGCATTCACAGTCAGTGAGGTGTCATTGATTATTCGTCAGTCGTATGTGGAAGCTGACACATACTTACATTTCTTAATATTTGTGACTGAATTACTTCAAAATAATGAACCCTGGTTATTAAACATGGTGTTTTTCAATCATTTAAAGAATGATTATTCGTCAGTCCAGGTGAAATGAAGAGTTACATTCTGATATCAGTGTAATTTCAGATGCTCAACATGGATTTTTATCAGCTGATTAGATAAAAGATAATTTCACATTTTACGATTTTATGAAAACTAAGATTGACTTCCACACACACACTCACTGCGGACTAAAATATGAATTTATTTAACGACATTTCGGTGTCTTCGACCTTCATCAGGCATACAGGCAGCATGCTAACAATCAATATATCGGACTATAGTGATTATAGTGCTCCAAGCATTACACTGGTCAGACCATAGCTCTAAACAAATAAAAATATACAGAATATAATAACTCTGATAAATCATCAAGCAGCCTAATGGCCGGCTCATCGGTACCTTTCTACAATAACTTCCATATAATGGTCACGTTCTCGGATCAGGACCAACAGATTTAATCACAACAGACTCTCTTAACCTGCAGTTACACCGGAGGGTCAGACGGGCTCAGATGTAGAGAGCAAAGATGGATGATTTCATATTCATAACTCCGTCCTAACCAAATCTAACCGACATCACTGTTGTTCACTACAACAACAACAACAACAACAACAGTTCTGACTCTTTTCAAATGTTCATTTATTATTTAAAGTACAAAAAAACTTCACAAACATACTTTGACTTTCATAGAACAGAAATCATATCAAACATTTTACATCTCTCAATAAACTCTGATTATTATCAGCTGTAATTTATTACCCTTTGTGTGTGTGTGTGTGTGTGTGTGTGTGTGTGAGTGTGTGTCTGTGTGTGTGTGTGTGCAGTGTGTGTGTGTGTGTGTGTGTGTGTGTTTGTGTGTGTGTGTGTGTCTGTAGGTGTGTGTGTGTGTGTGTCTGTGTGCGACGAGAATCAGGAAACAAGATTGTTCATGAGTCGCACAAAAGGCTGACACACACACCCACACTGCACACACATACACTCCTACATTACTAACAGGGGACTGTCAGATTACACTGTCCAACAAGGGACTGCTATTTCTGGTTATTTAAAAAAAAAAAAAAAAAACGCATAGACATTTTTTTACGGCATTTTACCAGAAATGTAATTTTTCATTTTTTTTGCCAAGAGAGGACTTTTTTCCATTAGTAATGTCTACCTATCAAAGAGGGGACTTCCATATACTGCAGTGGAACTGCCTCTACCCAGTCTTTCACCTTCAATGAGTGTTTGTTTACTGCAAAGACTTTATTTGTTTCTTAAAAAATACAATTTAACTGTAATGTTTTCAATATTTAAACCTGTATCTGCGATACAGATATTACAAAAATACGTTACAAAAATAATCCCCCTTAGGTCCGCTCCGACGTTCGGCAACCCCCAGCATGGATAGGTTAATTTTGACATTTCCTTCCCGCCGAGCCATGAGCTCCTAAAAATCCCTAAGCGTCGTGGGTCACATTAACGTCGAACAGTGACCCCGGATGCCCGATGGCGTCCGGATTGGCCCCTTGGGCCGCCACAAGTTTTTCAAAGTTTGGGACCTGTGTTCCCTATTTCCAAATTACCTTTTTCGGCCACCAGATGTCGGCTTTTTTTCGGTAATTTGGTTTACTGAAGGGTCTATTTATGACAAATGGGGAGACCTGACCCCGGTGTCAAAATCGGAACGCAAAGTCTGCAAAGTTCCCTTTCATCAACCCCGGGTGTCACGGACGCGTCAGAAATGTCAGAGCAGTAGCCCTAAAACTTATTTTCATGAAATTCTGACACTTGGCATGACAGGCCTCGACATTTGGGAGGCCGACTTCTCCCAACGTTCAAAAGGTCACTACTGTCCACGGAAAGGTCCCAGAGACCTCAGATTCAGGCAGGGAGCAGAGGGAGAGGCCTAGAATAGAGTCAGTTTGCAATTCTTCTCAATAATTGTCTGTTAATTCTCAGTACATAAAAAAGGTCCCCTCTTGTGCCATATAGAATGACAGTGACAGTCCACTGTTGGCTGGTACATAATGACAAAAGTTCCAACTTAGATAGCATAGAATGACATTCACACTCCAGCGTGGGTGAATAAAAAAGAAGTAAAATTCTTAGGAAAAAGTAATAATCTAAACTAAATATAATATAATCTGTAGTGATGTTATTTTAATTTTTTATTAAAGTGGCACCAGCATTGTTGACATTGTAGTATTTTTTAAATGTGTGTGTGCAGTGTGCGTGCAGTGTGTGTGTGTGTGTGTGTGTGTGTGTGTGTGTGTGTGTGTGTGTGTGTGTGCAGTGGGTGTGTGTCCATACAGCAGTGTTAAAATACTTTCATGCTTTTAACTACAAGGTACATAATGATTTGAGAGCACGTGTTTCCTACCAGCGGTCCTCTGAATTTGTAATGTTTATTTTATTTTATTTTATTGGGCAGTGCTTCAGATGCTGCAGGTTGAACAGAAAGTTGTGCCAAACTCCATTGAAAATGTGTTGTATTTAAGACTGCCTTGGTATTTTGGTAGAAACGGGCTGAAAGAGGAAGATTTTCATATGAAGTCTTGCACAAAGTCTCCTTTTATATCAGCTGAATAAACTGTAAGACTACATTCATTTGTTTGACATCTTATATTAAACTCTTGTGGACTCTTGTTGTTTTAAAGTGGACGATTTTTAAATGAAGTCTGGCATGAAGTCTCTTCCATAGAACACATAGAGGTGTAAACTGTCCTTAAGCCTGCTAAATGTTTGTTTTCCTTGCATGCAGTGAAACTCACAGCCATCGCAGCCCATTTAACATCTAATATGGGTTACAGTGACAGAGACAGTGATGAGGTCAGGACACAGCGGATCCTCCAACACAACCTCCGTCCTCACTGCTCACAGTCTGACTGAGATCACTTCCATCTGAGGAGAGAAGGAGACAGAGGACAGCAGAGATAAATCAGTGTTTACAGAGACTCCCTCCATCAGCACATCCAGTATAAAGAGCAGCAGGGTCTGAACACATCATTACTGCAGAAACAGAGAGACATTCACTGCCCACTGGAATGATGCATTTACTGCTGTTAGGGTTCAAAGCTGATAAAAACCACAGTCTCAGTCACATTTGAATGTTTCATCTGAAATCGTTACAGGACAAATGTGTAAATATTCAAACTATTTGGACAAACAAGAGACAAATGGACAGATATATATCTGATGTTAAAGGTCCTACATGTTCATACAAAGACTGAACAGCAACACATCAGCTGTGGGTACTGGACTCCAGCAGAGGTCCTGGTCTGTACAAAGACCACATGGTCACTAAATGTAATGATGCTTGTTTGCAGGCTTCAGTCAGACTGATCTCAGAGCTGTGACAAAGACCAACTGATCAGTTGTTTAGTGTAGAAGTCCAAGACTGCTGGAACCAGCATGGACTGACTCAGACCCTCTACTGACCTCAGAGTCTGCAGTCTACAGTGTGGACTCTCCACAAGATCAGACAGCAGCTTCATATCTGAATCCTGCAGGTTGTTGTTACTCAGGTCCAGCTCTCTCAGATGGGAGGGGTTGGACTTCAGAGCTGAGACCAGAGAAGAACAGCTGATCTCTGACAAACTGCAGTCACTCAATCTGAATAAAGAATAAAAGATGTGAGTTTATATTAAAACAGTTCAGTCAGTAGAAACATCACACAGCTTCATAAACACTGAATATAAAATAAAGATTATTTATTTATTATTTGTGTTAATTAATTTATTTTTATGGATGATTTAAAACCTCAAGGTGACCTTTAATGTAAAATCCAGAGCTGAAGAGGTTCACAGTGAATTATTCAGTGTAGATTCTTCTTGTTATATGAAGGTTTTAAATGTGGAGCTCAACATTGCTCTGCCACAGTCAATGGACTAATCCACTGAAGAAGAAAATTATGGAAGCAAATCGTGACCAAAATTTAAATGAAAATGCATTTGCTGAAATGCTTTTTCATTCAATCAATCATCATATTTGCATTTTAATTTTCTTCTTCAAGACTGCTCATTCTTTTACTTAATTAAAATGAAAAAGAAAAAGACATTTGAGATTTAATTTTCAAAATATGCCCCAGCAAATAGATACCAAAATTCAATTTGAAATGTAAAATTTGAAAATGAAAATGCATTTGCAGAAATGCTTTTTCATTTTAATAATGTGGCTGCATTATCTGACTCATTAATAAAATAAGTAATCAATCATCCTATTTGCATTTGCATTTTCTTCATAACTGCACATTTTATCGTTTTCGTGGTCTGCCCCGCAAAATAGTGCCCACAATTCGAAAAAGCATTTGGCAATCTGAGCGGCGCAGGAGAGTGACGTCAGTAGCCGCTCTTCTTCAGCTCCGGTAGAGGGCGGTGTGCACATTTCATATATGGACGCATGGAGTTAAAAACAAAAAAGTGCTAAAGTGTTAGATTTTGGGAGTTTATTCTCTCCATTTTACTACAGCTTGTGTTCAGGGTAACTCTTTGGCGGAGTGATATTTGGGTGTTCATTCACTGGGTGAGTTCACAGTTTTGTCCCAACGCTCAGCAGTCTGAACTTGGACTTCACCGTGACTCCTGAGCCAGGTAAAAGTGCGATTTTACTCCTCAGACTACCGTTTTATTAGGCTTCTATCAGTATAATAACGGCACATTTGTATGTTTTGTCATAAACCTTTGCGAGGCCAAACTCGCTAGCTAGCTAGCTGTCAACAAGCTAGCTAACGTTAGCTGTCGAAGTCAATGTTTGAACTTGTCGGACCAAGCTTAATATAAATCGATGGCTCCGCTCATTTTACTTGTTTGTACTTAGCGCATGGAATTAACATCAAACTCGTCATTACTGATATTTCTTTGTGTATTTTAACATTTTAACATTAGCCTACACTGTTTCTTCTTCTGTTGATGTATACTGAACACGTTTGGTTGTTTTTTCCTTAGTTGACTCGGAACGGCTAGGAGGACCGTAACAGACGCGAGAAAGGGACCAGCCATATATATATACACAGTTCTGCTTAAGACAACAGCCGGACAGCTTGCACCGCGACTCCGGAGAGGCTGTTGTAACGTAAATGGCGGAGTCTTTTTGGATGTCAGTGAACGTGTTCGATACTTGTCAGCGACTTTTTTACAAGCTTAGAGGCTATCTCTCAATCATTTCCGTTGTAAAGACTTGACTGGGACCACTGAATATTATACTAAGCATGCTATTGATTGAATAACAGCTACTACAAAGACTCTTCTGTTAGAGTGACAGTCCACATGTTGCTTTTATTACTGGTAAAATTATTATTTTTCCCTCAAGTGGTAAAGAGGTTGTTGAAGGTACAACAAGGAAGGACAAAGAAGTATGTGAAACTGGAAGAGGTCAGCTTCTCAGATTTTATCAATGCAGGTAGGTGGTGTACCTATGTGTTGTCTGATGTCATTAAAGGGCAAATAATAATTTAATAATGTGTTGAATGTTGTGCTTCAGTGCAGCAGAACTTTCTCATACCAGAAGATAAAGTGCTAAAAGTCGCAGATGAGCAGGGCATAGAGGTGGATGAAGATGTCTTTCCAGAACTTGCAACAGAAGCAATGTGTTTTGTTATCTCCACTGATGATGGTAAGGGGATTGAACATTTCTGGGTTTGTTTGTTTTTTTGCAGAAAAGCTTTTGCAGCTTTGTGTTAATGTTGTCTGCCTACCACCTTGTGGTAACCTTGTCCTCCATAAGGTAAACATGTGAAGGCAAATATTGTTGAGTTAATTGTGTTATTTCCACTGCAGAGTGGGACAGCGACATGGCTTCTCTTCTTGTCTTGCTGCATCTTCTCACTCCACAACCAGCTGGAAGGAAGAGGCCCAAGAAGATCAGTGTTATAGAGGCAACAGATCATCTGGTGAAATTTCAAAAGGTTTGTGAAGACAGTACGATCTAATTCCAAATATTGTGGTTCATGCAACATTTTTTAAACTAAAGGCTTATATGTAGATGCTTGTCTTTGTGTTTCAGTCCTGCCAGAGCCTGGAGGATCACCTCATGACAACTGAAGGAAACCCTCAGCCATATCTTCTGGCCTCAGGGACTTCTAAAGCACAGGTTTCCAGCTTCTACATAGTCTTGGATAGAAAGCTTCTTCCATCTCAGTCATGTACATCCTTGGGTGCATTTGATCAGTTGTTCAAGTCCCACTTTGTTTTCAGTGTGAAATAAGATGATGCTCTGTCCAGTCTGTACACATTTTTGCAAACTACTATGTACAACATTGATATAGGTACAACAGAAGAAACTCCAAGAGTCAAAGAGCTAAGAGCAAAGCTGTTGAACAAGCAGTAATTAGCTTATCCAGCAAAAATGCTCAGATGTTTCCTTTGTGCTTCATCTTTGGTACAGCGTTACATTTGTTCAGGCACCTCAAACTAATTCATGGGATGTACCCTGAGAAAAAATTGAGACTAAAATGTGGTCAAGTAGGATGTTGCTTGCAATTTTCAAGTTTTTCTGGATTTAGAAGACACTTGATTAAGATACATGCTTCTAGTGATAACACCTGTGTGCCTCCTGAGACCCCCTCTGGCCATGACAGCCAACAGCACAATAATTCTCAGTGCTTAAATGATGGAACACCCTCTACTTCATCCCAAATTATTGAGGCAGGCCCTTCACTGACAACTCACAGCAAAGATATGTGCCTGATGTGTGATTCACATTTGTATGTCAGAGGGTTGTATTATTTAATGTATTAACATTAGCTATATGGAATTCACCCTTGTTTTTATGTACATGTTTATGTACTTAAATTACAGGTTTAAAGTCTACCTCATGTTAATACATTCCATTACAGAAAAGTTCTTTGTTATCTTGTCAGACATTTGTGCAATGCTTTTATACTATGCACTTTCTGCACTACAGAAAGATGTGGTACTGACATGATTTTTGAAATAACTGCCTGTTCCAACTGTTTAGCTGCTGTTAAAGCAGTTTGTTTTAAATGTGAATATGTCTGGTTGGTTTGCTGTAAAATGTTTACGGTTTGTAATTCAAAATGTCACACATGGATTTAAAATAAAAATGTGTGGTAATCAATGTTTTTTGTAGTCATTTTCACCTAAAATATTTTGTGTTTTTAAATATTAACTCAGAAAAGTGTTGAATAAAAACATATTTTTAAGTGTTGACTGTTAACACCATGAAAGAGTTCACATTAAAATTAACTCCAGGTGAGAGTTGTATTTTACCCCACATGGGATTAGTTTTTTAACTCTCACAAGTGTTCAGTTTTAACTCCACAAAAGAATTTAAAAATCAACTCCTGGAAAAGAGTTACTTAACTTTTCCCTGGAGTACATTTGATGGTCTCACATGTACACTCAAATGTAGCTGATTCAGTGGTCTGTCCCGGGACCATGGTCTCTGGCACGGACCAGTGGTCAACCACTAGGTAGGTGCGCTAAAGACACTGGTCGCACTATTATTAATAGAAATCATAATAATAATAATGATTAAATTATTATTATTATTCGTAGCTGTATGAGTAGTACTATAGATTATGCAGTTCAGTGTGTTCGTGACCTGCCGCACAGTCCTGACCAGCTCCTCGCGACCAGCTCCTACCTGGCACGGACCAGTGGTCACTACCACAAGGGGCAATAAAGACAGTGGTCTGTCTTGTGGGTAGCACGGTCAACACGGAGCTGAAGAAGAGCGGCTACTGACGTCACTCTCCTGCGCCGCTCAGATTGCCAAATGCTTTTTCGAATTGTGGGCGCTATTTTGCGGGGCAGACCACGAAAACGATAAAATGTGCAGTTATGAAGAAAATGCAAATAGGATGATTGATTACTTATTTTATTAATAAGTCAAATAATGCAGCCACATTCTGCAAAATGAAAAAGCATTTCTGCAAATGCATTTTCATTTTCAAATTTTACATTTAAAATTGAATTTTGGTATCTATTTGCTGGGGCATATTTTGAAAATTAAATCTCAAATGTCTTTTTCTTTTTCATTTTAATTAAGTAAAAGAATGAGCAGTCTTGAAGAAGAAAATTAAAATGCAAATAGGATGCTTGATTACTTATTTTATTTATGAGTCAAATAATGCAGCCACATTCTTAAAATGAGAAAGCATTTCTGCAAATGCATTTTCATTTAAATTTTGGTCACGATTCGCTTCCATAGAAAACAGCCTTTAGCATTAAGATACTCAGTGTGGATCAGTATAATATCAGCCTTATGTCTGCACTTTACTGTCAGCCCAACTTTCACATCACATTCATCTCAGCACAGAAATAAAACATGGTGTCTGACCTCAGAGTCTCCAGTCTACAGTGTGGACTCTCCAGAAAACCACACAGCAGCTTCACTCCTGAATCCTGCAGGTTGTTCTTACTCAGGTCCAGCTCTCTCAGATGGGAGGGGTTGGACTTCAGAGCTGAGACCAGAGAAGAACAGCTGATCTCTGACAACCTGCAGAGACTCAAACTGAATAAAGAATAAAAGATGTGAGTTTAGAAGACAATGTTCCTGCTTGAAATCATTCAGTGTTTAATAATCTGTTCAGAGCTGAAGAAGGTTTACAATGTACAAGTTTAAAGAATAAATGATGAAGATAAAATCATATATAATCCAATCAGATGTGTTCAGGTTGTTAATGTGTAGATCAACACAGAGAGCTAATGCTACGCTGGGAGACAGAGAGCTAATGCTACGCTAGGACTCAAAGTCAGTGACAAACAGTAAATATAATGTGACAGAATGTTTAACCAGACTAGCTCGCTATCAGCCAGGTCATTGTCCCCAAATCAATGTGCAGATTTGGACCAACGATAGGACATGTGCACTGACGGCCGCAGCCTGAAGTAGCGAGTTGAACAGCCAATGGGATGTGAGTATCAGTGAGTTCAGGGGGGGGGGGTCGGGCTGTGGTGTTCAGAGGATGAAGGACGACACTCAGTGCTGTCAGATAGATTTATGAGATATTCACATTCTGTTTGAATTCAGTTGATATCATTCATTTAGAACGGTGAACAGACAGTTTCACTGGAACATCTCAGGAGCTGTCCTACAGCAGGACGTAATGGACACCCAGCAGCCAATCACAATGCAGGATTCACACAGACCATGGTATAAGGATCAACATCAATTAGGTTGAGTTGTTAATGAAAGATATCAGATCTACAACAGTAACAGAGAGTCAGTGAACTGACCTCAGAGTCTCCAGTCTACAGTGTGGACTCTCCAGAAAACCACACAGCAGCTTCACTCCTGAATCCTGCAGCTTGTTGTAACTCAGGTCCAGCTCTCTCAGATGGGAGGGGTTGGACTTCAGAGCTGAGACCAGAGAAGAACAGCTGATCTCTGATAACCTGCAGCAACTCAATCTTAATAAAGAATAAAAGATGTGAGTTTAGAAGACAATGTTCCTGCTTGAAATCATTCAGTGTTTAATAATCTGTTCAGAGCTGAAGAAGGTTTACAATGTACAAGTTTATAAAAAGCTTTAGATTAGTGTCTATCTGGACATATCTGGGAGTCAAACACATAAAGTCTCAGTGGATCATCTGTATCTGTTCAGGGAGGGAGGAGTTAATACTAAATACTGTCTCCTCAATAGTTTTATTGCAACCTTCATTGTATTCATGTTCATTTTATAATTTATTTAATGTGTTTTTTTGTTTGTATTATTTAAATTATGTTCTTTTATTTATGTACTTTTAGGATTTAGTTTTAGTGTAAATGTGTGTGATGGAGCGATACCGTCACTGACTGCACACACACACACACACACACACAAAAACCACACACACACACACACACAAAATCCATTTCCCTCAGCTCCTTTCTGCTCTCATTAACTATATTAATAAGTGAGTTAATAAACTGTGCTGTTAGTGAGAGTGCTGTCTCAGGAGTTTGGTTGGACAGACAGAGTTGGATACAGTCGGAGGTTATATGTGATAATCTTGCAGGTCTTCCAGGTCATGTGGGCAGAATAATTACATTTTCTTTATAATATTAATTCTTGCTATAATAACTAGTTTGGCTTATAAAGGAATAGGGGAGAAATTATAAATACATTGTGTTTAAAATATATATTGTGTTTAGATGATGGAAACAATAATAAGAAAAGATATTAATTGTTGTTAATTAATGGAAATATTAAGCCCAGTGGGAGGGGCTAGTGAAGTCAGTCCGAGCTTAGTTACAGTGGAGGTAACGTGCACTGGAGGTTACGACCTGGGTAATTTAAGTATTTGTTGTGATAGTTTCTTTTTTATTCATTTATGTTTGAAATGTTGTATATAGCATTTGATTTTCCTTTTCCAAGTTTTTGCACTTTTGGACCACTTTCTGTAAATATTATCACCGTTGTGCACCTTGTGAGACCAGAAATAAATTACACCAACCATATCTTCTGACTACGCCTGAGTTTTGAGGTGTTTGAAATGTGCTATAAAGGGAAAAAACACTAAAAGACAAAACATACTGTACAGTCAGTGAGCACTTAATAATTTAGATCAACAGCAAGGAGCTACATTTTTTATTTTCTGACACAAATTATTTGAAATAATTTTCAAGGACAACATGCTTTATTAGTCTCTGGTTCAAGTGGTTCTATTGATCCTTTACGGACAATGTTTTTGATTTTATACTTCATTTAATTTGGTTTTTGTTAGTTCTTTTTAGATGACTTTAATTCTTGTCTTGTATTTTTCATATTTAGTGTTATTGTGTAAATGTGCCTTTAATGTGTCTTAAACGCTCTGTATGTACACAGATCATGGGGGTAGAAGTAGATGGGGACAATCTGTCTTATGATCTAGTTTGTTTTTATTTACTTTCATTATGATTTTATTTGTATTGATTTTCAATATACATCTGTTATCTGTTATTAAATGTACATGTTGTGTCACTTTGAATGGAAACAATAAAAAGCACAGTTACAATAGGTCCAGTGTGGAGGTTCTTCCAGAAACCGCTTTGTGGGATTTGAGGTTCAGTTTTGAACTATATATTTTCATTCATGTTTGTTCTTGTCTGATCGAGAATAAAACACGTTTCTGTTTCATTCAAATGAGGGAACGGTGAAAATGAAACCTTTAAGAGAGAATCAACCACTGTTGAATGATTAATGTGATATTAAATATGTTTTAAATATGAAGCTCAACAAGATGCTCAGTGTGAATCAGCATCAAATCTATGTGGTTGAATCCTCAGTGTGGAATAAACCTTTAATAGTATTAACTGTGGTTTAACTTTAAATATTTCAGTTAGAATTTAAACTTCTGAAAACAACAATTTCTTGTCTGAAATATTAGTTTCACACTAACAATGTCAGCAGCGTTAATATTTCCAATGTTATAAAACTTTGTCTCCAGAGTTTGAGAACTGGCAGTGTGTTGAATCAGAGATCACATTACATTCATACGTTTCGTCTGAATGAACAAATGTTTTGGGTGAACGAACTGTACTGAATCACTTCCTCAAACAATCCGTTCTCAGTCAGCTGAGAGCCAACGTGCAGTGATTCACTGACTCACTCAGATGGATCCTCACTCACTGAACGTACTACACACAGTGAACGTGTCCTCAGCCCCGAGTGTTTCACTAAATACTCATTTCATTCTGCAGCACATTGTAGAATAAATCCTACAGTTTTCTGACTAACACCAATCCAGTTTGAGTACAGACGAAATCTGGAGCCAAATCATTCAGACTGACAGACTTTAAACACGAGCCGTTGTGATTTGTGCTCAGACAAACCCAGAAAGTAAAAGAACTGAAGGAGATTTAAAACTTCTGTTATATTTGGTAGATATACACAGAGCAAACACATGAACTGACCTCAGAGTCTCGAGTCTACAGTGTGGACTCTCCAGTCCAGCCAACAGCTTCACTCCTGAATCCTGCAGGTAGTTGTTACTCAGGTCCAGCTCTCTCAGATGGGAGGGGTTGGACTTCAGAGCTGAGGCCACGACTTCACAGTGAGTCTCTGAGAGTCCACAGCCAAAAAGTCTGAATACAGAGAATATAACTTTTAAAATAAAATCTTATAGCATTTAGATCACAAGGCAAATAAATACACACAGAAATCATTCAACATTCATATTTAACACAGCATGTTTAAATGTAAGTTGTAGCCCCTTCATGCCACACACACATAGAACATACAAATATTACATTTATATTAGAATAAAATAAAATAAACAAAACATACAGTTATTTATATATAACTATAAACCCAGTAAAGAAGTTGTGCAGTGCATTTTTAGAATGTGGGTCTGGGGGAATGTAAACAGCTACAGAAGCACATTGCCTTCACAAAAAAAACATTTAGACATGTCGTAATTATCAGTTACTATCTTATAATTACAAGGAAAGATGTTGTGATGATGAGATCAGGATCTTTATGAAAAAGTGGACTGTTCCCACATACTGGCCACTGTTTAGCTCAGTGGTACCTGGGGACATGTTGAACAACAATCTGGTTTGAATTTTTAAAATATGCATATTCATATCATGCTCATTCCCCACGAGCAGTAGGAAGCCATTAATGACAAACAATCAATGTGACAGCCTCCAAATCACATACAAGGAGCTGGAAACATGGACCATAGTAACATCATATCATGAGTATCAACAGGTCACATGTCTACTGAACCTGATAATATAGTATGGCTGTGCTAAAAAATCGATACCGCAATATATCGCAATATTTATTTACGTGATATACTACATCGATTTCAAGGTTCCAAAAATCAATATTTTAAAGGGGGAAAAAAAAATACATTTTAAACAGGCTGTGATGTGAACTACAACCTCCGCTCCTGTAGATGTCGCAGTACGACTCTGGTTGCTTCGAATTGGCAGAGTGAGAAATGGAAGCAGCATGTCTACTGACAGTATTAGAGCAGCGCCTTCAAAATACAAAGCCGATGTCTGGGTCCACTTCTGTTTCAAAAATAAACCAGGGAGCATGGACTTGGATAAAGAAAATGCAATTTGCAAGCTCTGTCACGCTGCCGTAAAATATTCAGGTAACACGACCAACTTGCGAACTCACCTTGTCAGACGCCATGCAGATACAATAGTGTTACCGCAGCAACCAAAACCTGTCGACGCGAGGCAAACTACGCTGGATGACACCACCAACAGACTTTCATCTACCTAATCTCGAGTTCTAAAGATTACGGAGTCAGTGGTGCATTTTATTTGTCAGGATTTGCGCCCCTATAACACCGGCTTCAGGTTCATGGTAAACACCATGGAGCCGCGCTATGTGATCCCGACTCGCAAACACATTACGGAGGTAGCTGTGCCCAGGATGTATGAAGAAGTGAAGCAAGTAGTAAAAACATCTCTTGGCTCAGCAGAAAGAGTGGCCCTTACGTGCGATGGTTGGACATCGAGAGCCACTGAGTCTTATGTTACGATCACATCGCACCACATCGATGAGGGCTGGAAACTGATCTCTCATGTTTTGCAGACGAGGGCAATGCACGAGAGTCATACTGGCAGTAACATCGCCGAGCTGTTGAAACGTGCATTGGAGGAGTGGGACATAAACAGCAAGGACCCCGCCATAGTCACTGACAACGTGTCAAACATGACCATTGCGGTGCAGCTAGCTGGTATGCTACATTTTAAATGTTTTCTGTTATTGTGTTGTCCACCCCTACTGCAGGTGCTGCAAAGAAATTGAAAACCACAGAGGACCAGGCAAAAGAGGAGATGGCAAGATACAAGGAGGAAGCTCCCCTGCCACTTGTTGTCAGTCCACTGGACTGGTGGAAAGAGCAACAGAGATACCTGTGTATCCCGGGGACTAGCGTCTCTTCAGAGAGAGTTTTTTCTACAGCAGGGGATATTATCACAGCACAGAGGAGTGCACTTTCCCCAGACCATCTTGAGCAAATTCTGTTCCTGAACAAAAATCTGAAGTCAAAGTAAGACTGCCATTGTATCCATGTTTTTACTAAGGGTTCATGTATCAAAGTATAGTAGACACATGCAAATAACATTTGAGTTGGACTACAGTATGTTTACGGTTTATTTACACCATACTGACTATTTATTATTTTGATTTTGTTTATAGGAATATTTAATATGCACTATGTTGTCCTCATACATTCGTTTATTGTGTTGACTGACAATAAGGAGTACTTGTGCATATGCACTTTATTTTCACACCATCCTCTGTGAGTTCACTGTGTTAAAGTGCAAGCGTGCACATCATTTTCATTTTGATGTAATGGCAGCTAGATCTGTGTGTTACATAAATATAAATAAATTGAAAAAGGACATTTTGAATTACATTGTTTTGACTCAATTTGTCCGCTGAATTATCAATATAATATAGTTCTGTTTTTACATTCTCAGT